GTTCGCATTCCTGTAAGCATTCTGGGGAACTCCTACCTGAATTGCCCATCAGACTGTTTACAACATTCTAAGGCTTCTCTAGCCTGCTTCTTTAAACTTTCTCAAATTCCTCCAATGGGCCAGTTCCAAATGCTTGAGAACCACATGGTCAGGTACCAGTTTTTGTGTTAAGTCAGCTTTCCATTGCTGTTGACTCAAAACATATAACAAGAACAACTTAGAAGGTGAAGTTTATTTTGGGCCCAAATTTCAGAGGTTTAGTCCATGGTTGGAGGGGCACCTCATATCTGAAGCATAACGTGTCTGGGGGTGGGGTGGATAAGAGCACCTAAAATCTTCCCTCAGCAATTTTCAGTGTACAGTATTATTAACTATGGTCTCCTTGCTGTGTGTTGGATCTCTAGATGCTCTCATCCCATGTAACTGGCAAGTCTGTACCTTTTGACCTAATCTCTCTCCTCCCTGCCTCTGGTAACCACCAGGGTGTGTGTGTGTGTGTGTGTGTGTGTGTGTGTGTCCGTCCGTGTCCCCACCCCCTACCACATTTATTTTAAATTCCTAGTATAAATGAGACCTTGCAGTAGTTTTCTTTCTGTGTCTGGCTTATTTCTCAAAATAACTAATTAATTTTTTTTTTAAATTTCTGAACACTTTTAGTCTAAAATTGTTGAGGTTTAGGGAATGGTTTAATGTGTGTAAGAAATACCATATTATCCAGCTAAATACCAAGATTATATTTGATAGCTTCGTACTAGTGCTTTTATATATTATTGTTCATTTCTAATACTAATTTTAGCTCAGCATAAGTTTCTAAGTTTTAATATCTACTTTTCAGTTCCATAAACCATTACTTCCCAAACAAAGAAAATGTAATATACACTCTTATTTCTCTAAATAAATCAATTTTCATTCAAAACTTACCATAAATTTAGAAAAAAGTCCTTTTAAACTAATTAAATGCATTGACATTCTTTGATATTTAAGGCTTAATTTCAAGGTCATAATAAAATGAATTAAGCAACAAACATTTAAATTTTGAGAAATTCATTGGTCGGTCTGCCATTGCAGAAGTCAGGTTCAATTTCTTAGGCATGAAGTTTCTGCTCCCATTTCACTCTCCCTCATACATATTTATATTGAATTATATCTACCATATAACATGACATACAATAGGTACTAAGTCAGTTTTTTCTGAATGTTTTCTTCTTGGATTTTTTTTTTTTTTCATTTTAAAGGGTTGTTTGCAGACAGCATTAAGAAAGCATAGATAGCTAATTATAACTGGCTTTTGTTATAATAGACTTTTGAAAAAGAGGAAAGAACTTAAAAATTCTTAAATATTGCATAACTCCACTGCTTAGTGTACAGTAACTACTATGTAAATGTTGTTATTTTTAGCAGTAATAAAACTTGTTTTAGGACAACTGACATTTAAAAATCTCAGTGGATAAATATAAAAGTGAGATGATTATTTATATTTATATTATATTTTTCACTTCAAGAAATAATTTATAGCAGAGTATTTTAAAAATAGTGAAACCCTTAGGGTAATAAAACATTACATTCACCAAAAATTATGCTTGCCATATTTCAGGCTCACTCCATTATAGAAAGCGTGTAACATGTTCCTCACACATTTGTAGTATACTCTAGTGACAGTGATATCCAGCATTCTGAAAAGTACAGCTGATTCTTGTTATTTGGTAGTCATAGTCTGTAGAGTCACTGTGAACACTGAATTAGCCAATACTGAACCACTGCTCCTGTGGGCCTCTGATCATGACATTTGGAACACATACCCTTGTCTTATGTGTGTTTCTATTAAAGATACCTTTTAAAAAACAAATTGTTGGTGCTTTAGTATTAAACTCACAGCCAAGAGCACGGTGGTGACTCAAGCCTGAGCAAAGCTTATGGGACACATACATGCTATACTTAAAACACATAGCAGGCTTTGTTCAGTTAGGAACGCTACATAGCACTGAAGTGTGACACTTGTCCATCGCAAACAATGAAGTCACCAGCAAAAAACTAAAAATGTGAGAGTTATGATGAATAGACCCCGAAAAGAAGACTTGTCTGTAGTGTGAAGCTGAAGCAAGAAGGCAGAGTGTCACTGTGTTCACCTGTTCAGTGTTTCAGATTGAACTCAGAATCTTCACTGCTTGTCACATGTCAGAATTCTGTATTGGTTTTGGGGTTGCAAATAAGTTTTACCAAATAAATTCTCAAATAATGGAATCTACATCCAATGAGGATCAATTGTATTACATCTTTGATTGACTATGCTTTGAGATTAAGCAGTAGAAATATAATCACCATTAACAGTCATTTTTAATAATGAGTATATTTTAATATTTTTCAGAACTGATATTAACTTTTCTCTCATGTTATATTTTCTGGGTAATGATTTCTTAACTCATGACCCTTGTCTGTAGATAGCTACGGGCCCAGGCACTGTTCTAGGCTCTGGAGATGCAATAGAAAACTCAATATATAAAAATATGTGATCACGTATGTTTTCCATTCCATTAGAATAGGCAGGTAATGATGCAAGATAAATATATAAAATACAAATCAGGTTAGAAAGCCATTAGTACTAAGAACAAAATTATAAAATCTAGCAAGGAAGGAGTAAATGGATACCTGGAGGGTTGTGTTCTGGTGATCTTTTGTCACTACTTGGTGACTTGTCAAACAACAATTTGTTTTATTATCTCTGAATTTCTGGACATGAATAAATCTCAGATGCATTGTTTTTCTTTGGGATGTCTCAGATACTGTAATCAGATGACAACTGGGGCTGGAGTCACCTGAATTCTTCTTTACTCACCATTTTGGTGTCAGGACTGGAATGCTTAGATTTAGATGTAAGAGTTAAGACTATATAACCCTTAGAAGAAAGCAGAGGAGTAGGTCATGATTTGTGTTTAGGGAGAATCATGATTTTGTTTCTTAGGACACCAAAATGGGCAACAACAACAACAAAAAAAAATTGGACTACATCAAAATTTAAAAATTTTGTGGTTCACTGAACATCATCAAGAAAGTGAAAACATAACTAACCCCAAAATGGTAGAAAATATTTATATGTAATAACTCGGAAAGGGCTTATATCTAGAATATATATAAAGAACTTTTATGACAATATTAAATGTTCAAACAGTGTGATGTTATTCAGTTATAAAAAATAATGAAATATTGATGCATGTTGGAATCTGGCTGGGTGAATCTTGAAAATAAGCTTAGTGATCCTACGCATGAAATGTGTGGAATGGGAAAAGAATAAAGAAATGTAAAGTAGCTTAGTGGTTGCTTAGGGTGAAGCCAGGGCAGAAAGCATAGTGACTCCAATGACTATGGGATTTAGTTTGAGAGATGAAAATATTCCATATTGTATTGTGGCAGTGGGGTTCACAGTGGGGTACGAATCCACTGTAGAGCATCGGATTTTATGCTTTAGATATATTCATTGTATGGTATGTGAATGATATTTCAGTAAAGTTCATTTTTAAAAAGGTGATAGAGGGACTGGGGTTGTGGCTCAGTGTAAAGCGCTCGCCTAGCATGTGTGAGGCCCTGGGTTCAATTCTCAGCACCATATTCAAATGAGTAAACAAAATAAAGATATTAAAAAAATTATATATTTTTTTAAAAAAGGTGATAGATTCATGGGCTGGAGATGCTTAGTAGACCAAAGGGTTGTTGAAGTAAAAAAATTTATCCTTGGAGAGATTGAAATCAGTAGTGATTATGATAGAAGTGTTGCTGGAAAGAGTGACAGTGAGCCAGGAACCAATACCTTCAAAAGGAGTAATAATTTGAAGAATAGTTGATAATTGCATCAGTAGTGCCTGTGTTTGATGATAGACATGTAAAGCTTAGTGCTTTTGCTATGGGGAGAGGGAGAATATTCTCAAGGTAGAAGTGAGGAACCTGAAAAATTCCCATGGCGTATTTAGGGCCCAGGACACAGGAGGTTTGGCAGAGAATGCAGTGCTCTAGAGGACATGTCACTAGGGGATATCAGACATTGTTGTAAACTTTTATGTTTCCACAGAACACTTCTGCAGTACATAAGATAACTTTCGAATACTTGGGCTTTCATTTTGGTAGCTTTTTGATTGTTACACATATAATGGAACTAGAGTCTGTTTTCTGATGATTACTTTATCCCCTCAGTGCTTTACTCCTCAGTCTATTGCACAGTGCTGATATACAGACTGCACAGTTAGTTGATCTTCATTTGTTCAGTTTTTTGTGATAGAGAGGATGTAGATGCTTGTCCCTTTTGGCTGCCCTAAAGTAAGACTTGCAAAAACTGAAGGTGTTGCCATTTGCATCACTACTTAATCCTCTGCTGTTGTTGGCCTTAAGATTGGCTCAGTGGTAAAATAGTGTGAATGGTACACTGAAAACGTTGGAATTTTAAAAATCATACGTAAAAATTCAAAGGGAGTGAATTTATCACCACTATTATGTTCCAAGTACAAGTAGCTTCAAAATGATGGGACTGGTGCCATTGTGACGTTGACCATTCAGAAAAGATGCTGGTCATTGAGTTATGATAGTATTTCCTGACTGAATAAAAGCTTTGGTCCTAAACATTGCATTTATTGTTTTGTTATCAAATTTACTTTTTTCATAAGTCTTCATGGTAACTTGTACAAAATCATAGCAAATTGTTAGAGTTGAGATTCAGAAGTCATTTTATCTGGTTCTAAAATCTGTACCATGTTCACAGTTACACTTCCTTGATAAAACCCAGCTTTCTACTTTTCTGTAAAGAAGTGAGTTCATGGGCCAGGGACATAGAGTACTTGTCTAGCATGTGTGTCAGCTCTGGTTCAATCCCCTGTACCACCAAAACAAGAGTGAATTTATAATAGCTGATAACTTGTGTGGAAAAAGAGGTAGTTTGCCAATTTTGTAATTTTTGGAAAAATAACCTTATTTCTATCAATAGCTCCTAAATGTTTTTCTTTTTTGTTTTTTATCAGGACGTCTTGCATGGCTCGTTTATTTAGTTGGGACAGTTGTAGGAGGAAGATTAACATATACCAGTACAGATGAGCATGATGCTATGGATGGAGAGTTATCCTGTAGGTAAGTATTGGTCATGTACCTACAGAAATCAAGAGTTAAGAAATTAGTCATTGAGTTAGTATTATGTGCTAAAGCATTTTGAGAAACGTGTTAGTTTCCTTGCTCTTGCGGACAAAAACCAAGATTTAGGGGTTAAGCAATTTAAGAAGTCAAATCTCCAGTAAGTAATTTTTTTAGACATTTGTTGCAGCAGTGTGTTGAAGATGTAGGTTGCTTTTGCTCTTTAGGACCTGATGAAGCTACAAAATTGATATGTATTGGGATCATGTGAATGATGGTTCTGGATTCCTCCTAGCACCACGTAAAGACAAATAAAGGCATTGAGTCCATATACAACTAAAAAAAAATAAAGAATTAAATAAGTTAATATTTTTAAAATACTTAGAGCATTGCCTTGCAAACAGTGATGTATTATACATACACGTACATCTTTAGATAAAATATACTGTGAACATTTAACATAGACTTAAAATATTATAAACTGTACCATAATTTAAATAGACCCGGGCTTTTGGAACTTTAGACTGTTTCTGTTTTTCCTTATTATAAATTGCTTTCAGGTATGTTGTTTCATTCATCTTTGTGTGAATTGAAAGAATTTCATTAGAGTTCATTCTGGAAAGCTGAACAGCTAGTCAAGAGAGTATGTAGCTTCTTACAGACTTGCAGTACATATGACCAGATGGCCTTCTGTACATGTTGAACAGCTCTAATGTGAAAATCCAAAGTCCAGAATGCTCCAAAATCTGAAACTAAGTGCCAGCATGACACACAGTTTTAGATTTTATTGGAGCATTTTGGATTTTCAGGTTAGGAATGCTTATTCCATAGTGTCTACAAAAATTACAAAATCCAAATAACCCTGAAATCTGAAATGCTTCTGGTTTTTTTTTTGGATAAGATATACCTAGCCTATGCAAGTTTATCCTCTGAACCCAAAGGCTATGAGAGTTATCAGTTTCATCAGTTGAATGCCAGATAATAGGCTTCTTACTGTTGTCAGTTTTATGTAACCAATGTCTTTTTTTTGGCTGGGGAGTAGATGGGAGAGGAGTGGGGATTGAACCCCAGGATGCTTTACTACTTACTACCCCAGGATGGTTTTTTTTTTTTTTAAGTTTGAAACAGGTTTCACTAAGTTTCTGAGGAGCTTGCTAAGTTGCTGAGGCTAGCCTCGAACTTGCAGTCCTCTTGTTTTAGTGTTCTGAGTTGATGGAGTGTTAGTCGTGTGCATGATGCCTAGCACAAATGTTTTGTTTTAATTTATTTTTCTTTGGCTACTAGTGGTGTCAGCTAATATTTTCTACTCCTATTTTGCCATTTATATTTGTGGTTTTTTTATGTTAACTGTATTATTTATCTGATATTCTTTGGCAATTATCTTTTCTAGTTTATTTGTAATAAACAATTCAGTATAAAAGATCTCAATATTCTGCTATTCAGAATATTGGTGTTAACCAGTTAATACCAATTCCACCTTCTAGTGGTTTGAAATATCATCATATTTTATGCAAAATTCTTGTGTATTTTTACCAGTGGTCTTCAGGAAAAGGAAGGAGCTGTGGAATGAAACTGATCAGACTGTCCTGTGTACACGTATGAATACACCACAGTGAATTCCACCTTTGTGTATATCTATGATGCACTAATTAAAAAAAAAAAAACTACAAACAACTAGAAGGAAGTCTGGTAGAATTCAGGAAAGGGGACAGGAAGAGGGAGGAGGGAAGGGAAAGGGAAAGTCCTGAGGTCTAAACTGGAGTAAATTAAATTGCATGCTTCAATAGTATGTCAGAATGAGCCCCAATAATATGTGTAACTGTAACGCACTAACAAATAAAAATAAATTCCTTGTGTCTTTTTCCAGGCCTTTCAATGCTGTCACCCTAGTAAAGTCCTTAAAACCGTTACACCTGGTTGATATTCTCTCTCATAATTATACTAAATATATTCCTAAGTGTTTAAATTATTGTAATTTTGAATACAAATTTTATTTTCATTCCATACCTTTTTCAACGTTTAAATTATCTTTAATAACTTTGAACCTGAATAGACATAAATATTTTTAGTTATCTTAAAGATTTATTATTTCCTATATCAAATTGAGTTATTTGAAAATATGAATAATAAGTGTTTGAGGCTTTCTTAAAATGCTTTAGTTAATTTTTTTTTTGGCAGTGAAAAGATATTTAATTTCTTGAGTAATTTAGGAAAGTAAGCTGAATCAGCATTGAGATGTTTTTTACCAATTTGAAGGACTAGTTTGAGGAGAATCAATAATGATACAAAGGGGTGGGGCAGTGGAAAAGAAGATCGGGATTCTTTGGAGAATATCATGAAAACTGTGGCCACCCAGAAAAATGATTACATACAGATACACTCATCATTTCATATCCTATAAAAATGATATATTTATTCTCATTTTAATAGCTCAGAAAATTAAGGGCTCAGAGAGAGATTAAATGATTTGTTCAAGGCTTCTCTGTCCAAAGGATTTGTTCCAGAATTAAAATACTGCTCTTCTGACTTTAAATCTGCTTCTCTGATTCCTCCATTCTGGACTGCTCTACTCTTCAGACTTTGTACACTCCAGAGTTGATTAAAACTGCTTAGGTGGGCCTTTCTACTCTTAAAATCTGGTATTGCCATAGCAAATATTCTAGCCTATATAGAATAATTATTTAATGAGCATTTGCAGATAATATTTAAATTTTATTTGTGGCAAATTCTGGTGTTGTTAAATACTATCATTTCATTACTTATCTACAG